GCAGAGGCATGGCATGGGGAGGGATCAGAAGAATAGCAGGGTGGGCTGGCAGATGGGCAATTGACATAGGAGAGGGGCAGGAGGGTGGAAGCCAGGAGCAGCGGCATCAGGCAGGTGTTCCCCCATGCGGGACATGATGCTACACATGGTGTCCCACCCACATCATCATTTGGTCCCATGAGCACTCCCACCACTCGAGGTCCACATTGACCCTGCACGCCAGGGTCTGTTAGATGTCACGGAGGATGCTGACGTGTTGGTGCATCAGGTCCTCCTGCACCCTGGCTCGTCTGCAGGTCCCCTGGACTCTGACAAGTGGCTATGGCAATGGTGTGGCTTGGTCCTGTGTCTCAGCAGGTCCGGCTGTGGAGAACACACAAGAGGGAGAGGCAGTCAGTCCTCCCTGCAGACACTCCCTGAGGCCATGCCCTCGTCTGTGAGCTGCAACCATAATAATCCATGGAACACAGGATGGGGGTGTCCTGGGTTCCAGGCCATGTGTGGCCTGCACAGCAAGCCCTGTCTCAAAGGGGCCCTGACGAGCCCAGAGGACCGTGCTGCCCGCTCCATCCTCTCCCCCCCACACACACACACCGTGGCCAGGCAGAAAAGGGAAGTGTCCTGCCACAGTAGAATCCCCTCATGGGCAGCAGAGGAGCCAGGAGCAGCCAGGCCCTTCCTGGGGTCTTCACACACAGCTGCGGCTTTCTGTGCTGTCTGTGCGAGAAGCTGCTGCCTCGCATGTGCAGGCATGCCTGCATGCAGTGTGTGGCACTCCTCAGTCTGTGTGGGGTTGTGCCTGCACCTTTGCAGCTAGCCTCTTCCCACTGGGCGCAGAATGTTTGTGGCCTCTCCTGAGTTTGGCAGCAGGGTCCTGGGCATGTTCAGGGGCTGCCTGCTGTGTGCACGTCACACACTCACGCTGCACATGTTCGCATGTGCACCGAGAAGCTGCTGCCTCGCATGTGCAGGCATGCCTGCATGCAGTGTGTGGCACTCCTCAGTCTGTGTGGGGTTGTGCCTGCACCTTTGCAGCTAGCCTCTTCCCACTGGGCGCAGAATGTTTGTGGCCTCTCCTGAGTTTGGCAGCAGGGTCCTGGGCATGTTCAGGGGCTGCCTGCTGTGTGCACGTCACACACTCACGCTGCACATGTTCGCATGTGCACGGACCACAGCACCATGTGCATCCCAAGTGAAAATCACCCCCTGCTCCCTGTGTGCCCACCTCCCCCACCCTGTGTGTGAGTGACAACTCACCTGAAGATCCCTCCCAGGCTTCCGAGGAAATGTGGGAGACAACCTGACTGGGACAGGGTCACAGTCCCTGGCTTCTGCTCCTCTTCCTCCAGCTGGGGCTGGCCCTGGCCCTTCAGCTCATCCTCGGGGGCGACCTTTGCATGGACATCAACCACGGTCACCAGTCCAGAGTCTACCATGAGGCATGGGGAAGAGGTTTCCCTACCCTTCAAGATGTGGTGGAGCTCCGCATAGAAGGGGCAGGTGTGGGGTCCTGCCCATAAGTGCGCATTGCGCTCAGTGGCCCTCACATACCTCTGACAGAGCTCCTTAACCTTGCTTGGAACCTGCTCCATGGTCCAGACAGGGTGACCTCTCTCCGCCAGGGATACCGATCCGAGAAAACATTTCTGCATTGCGCTGCTTGCCCCGGGGATCTTGGAGGGACTCCTCCTCATCCCACAATTCCAGGGGAGGGGGTCGCAATCTCTGGGCCAGACTATATTGGGGTGTACCTTTTGGTCCCCCAGGGGGGTCCTGGGACCCCTGGTGCTGCTCCCTGGAAGGGCCAGGGGGGTTTCTGGGGGCTTCTTGCTCTGCCATGTGTAGCAATACCAGTGGCAAGAGAGAGCTACACAATGAGGGACCTGCTCTCTGCACAGCTTCTGGCCACAAGGCTTGTTCAGGGTGCCTGCAGCTTTAAGAGGGATCAGCAGACAGGAACTATAGAGTTCTGATTAATTTGGATGGAGTGACCACTAGGGCACCTGTTATTTTTTTCCTGGAGGACATTTCTTGTGCAAAAACCCCTCTTGCCCGTCTACACACACACATCTTTTTGCAAAAGAACTCTTTCGCAAAAAGGAGTTATCCCTCGTAGAATGAGGAATGCCTACACTGGAAAAAACCCTCTGTTCTTACATTGTACTTGCAGAAAAATACACTTGAGGTGTGGATCCTCCACAAGCTTTAGTGCAAAAATGGCCATTCTGCATTGTAGCATAGAACCTAAGGGTTCACACTGCAATGTGACTTTTGTAGTGAAAAATGTCCATTTTTATTGTCAGAAAACTTCCAGCTCCACAAGGGAGTTATTTTCTTTTCTCCTTCCTGAGTTGTCAACAAACATGCAGTGTAGACACCTTGAGATGTTTTCTCTATGATTCGGGCCTCCAGGAAGTGACCCATACAATCAGCCACTCTGGTCATCAACTTGAACTCTGCTGCCCAGCACCCAGATGGCCAGCTACCTGCTGCACTCCTTTGCAAGCTCTGCAAAATTTAAATTCCTTTTCCTGCTGCTTATTCCAGTCCATCTACTGCAGGGACACATGGTCCATAATGAGGGTGAATTTTTATCCCAGAAGGTAATGTTGCAGGCTCTCCATGGCCCACTTCACTGCAAAGCACTCTTTTTCAACCATGGCATAGTTCCTCTCCCATGGGGACAGCTTCCAGCTCAGGTGTAGGATGGGATGCTCTTCCTCTCTGACCATTTGGGACAGTACAGCACCCAATTCAACTTCAGAGGCATTAGTGTGGAGTAAGAATGCCTTCTCAAAATCAGGGGCTATGAGCACTGGGTCACTACATAGGGCAGTTTTCAGGTCAACAAATGTCTCCTCTGCTGCAGAGGTCCATTTCACTGTATCCGGGCCACGGGCTTTCAATAGGTCCATCAGGGGCCATGACCTGGAGGCAAAGAGGGGATAAACCTCCAGTAGTATCCCACTTGTCCCAGGAACATGCAGACCTGCTTCTTTCAGACCATCTGGGGTCAGTTGTGTATTGCTGCCCCTTATTCAGCTGGAGTAAGTCTAGACTACAGTCTTTTGTTGACAGAGGCTTTGTCGACAGATCGAAAAATCGATCCACTTTGTTAAAAAAGAGCATCCAGACTGCTGGACACTCTGTCAACAAAAGAAGGCACCCGGAAGTGCTTCTGGAAGGTCACAGGGGCAGCCTTAAGTTCCTGGAGATGCTGCGTGCTCTTTGCAGAGACGCGTGCTTAAAGGGCCCCTCCTGGACAGCCATTGCTGTGCTCCTGCTTCTGGCTTGCCTACCTCCTAGAGGGACAGCAAAGCTGCTACAGTTCTTGCTTTGGTTGCCTTGCTTCCTCGGACACCACAGCAGTTTATTTTCAGGTTTGTTTTTGTGCTTCGCACTGTGTTTTTGGCTATGGCTGCCCCATGGCAGGCGAGAGCCCCACACCGTGATGCTGGAAGCTCTGCTGCAGCTTCCTGAGAGCATCACGACATTTGTGGCAGAGCTGGAGTCAGAGCCCAGCCTTGAGCCCCTCACTCAGGCTGCAGCCCCACTGCCCTTGCCCCCGAACTTATTCCTGGAGAGGTAAGTTTGGAGGCTGGACACCAGTTAAAACTGGTGGGACCGACTTGTTATGCAGCAGTGGGACGACAACCAGTGGCTCCGAAACTATTGGATGCGGAAGTCCACTTTCCAGGAGCTCTGTGCCTGGCTTGCCCTGCCCCTGCCCCAGGACACCCACTTGCGGCCCACCATCCCCCTGGAGAAGCGCGTTGCTGTTGCTCTGTGGAAGCTGGCCACCCCCGACAGCTACCACTCCATGGGACATCAGTTTGGCATAGGGAGGTCTATTCTCGGGGCTGTCTTGATGGAAGTAAGTCACTCTCGGGGGACAGTCCAGGGGGGCGGGAACAGGCAGGAAGGGGGCCAGTCAGGACCAGGCACAGGGAATTGTGGATGGGATGGCAGAGGTAGAAGCCCTCTCGGCCTCACCCTGCCATGGTGCAGGGAGGGATTGTCTGAGGGGGGGCTCTTGGGGTTCAGGGACGGGGGGAACACCTCTCATCAGCTGAGCCAACCCCTCTAATGTCCTGTTCTGTGTGTTTCTATTCGTTCCTTTCTGCAGGTGGTGACGGCCATCAGTTCAGAGCTGCTTCACAGGACTGTCCTCCTCAGAAACCTGGATGCCATCATGGGGGATTTGCGGCACTAGGATTTCCCAACTGCGGTGGAGCACTTGACAGGATGCACATCCCCATCCGCGCACCACCCCGCCAAGCAGCCCAGTACATTAATAGAAAGATCTACTTTTCGATGGTGCTGCAGGCCCTGGTCGACCACCGGGGACAATTCACAGACATTTGTGTTGGATAGTCAGGCCAGGCACATGATGCTCGCATATTCCAGAACTCGTACTTGTACCTTAGGCTGCAGCCTGGGTTCTTTTTCCCCGGTAGAAACTTGGCAGTGGGGGATGTGCAGATGCCTATATGCATTGTGGCTGATGCGGCCTACCCCCTTATGCCCTGGCTCATGAAGCCATTCACGGGACACCTAGGTGCGAACAGGGAACTCTTTCACTCCCGCATGAATCGGGCTCACTACCAGGTGGAGTGCATCATTGGCCATCTGAAGGGCAGATTTAGATGCCTGCTCATTCGGCTGGACATGGGGAATGCAACATCCCCGATGTGTTTGCTGCATGCTGTGTGCTGCACAACCTCATAGAAAGAAAAGGGGAGGCCTTCCTCCCTGCATGGGGGACATGGGCTAACGTGGAGGGGAGGCACTTTGAGCAGCCCCAGACAGCTGCCATCCAGCAAGCCCACTAGTCAGGAGTAGTTCTCACAAGAAGGCCGATGATTGTCCCCAGAGACATCCAGTTGTGTCTCCATGCCTCCAGTGCCTTCCTCCCCAAAACCTCTCCCAGCCCCACACATTCACATTGCACACAATCACACTGAGAACAGACAGGCGTTGTTGAAAAAAAATGCGTACAGTTTACTTCACTGTGGAATTGTTACAAAACTATAAAACTCTTGTATTCTGAAAAATAAATTGTTTTTGTTAGCACTGAAAATAAAGTACTTCCCTCAGTAACTTTCACTGGGGGAAAGGAGATGCCAACATGGAAAGGGGGAGGGAGGCCCATAGCTGAGGATGCCGCCTAGGATGAGGAGCCCCTGCCACCTTGGCTGTAGAGGACAGATCAGAGACGGGTGCGCCTGCGGGCTGGGACAGTAGGGGGCTGGGCAGGAGGTGGGTCTGTAGCTGAGTCTGGGATGGCAGGGACTGAGGAGGGGCAGGAGTTGAGGGGGAAGCAGGGAGTGACGGCGGGCAGGGGCTGAGTAGAGGAGCAGGCTGAGCAGGAGGAGTAGGACCAGGCAGAGGACTGGGGAAGGCCATGACCTCCCGGATAGCAGCTCAAATCTCAGTGCACTGCTGGACGAACTCATCCAGCAAGCACCTGCGCCACTCTGCCTCTGCCTCTGCCTCTGCCTCTGCCTCCACCCTGTGGTTCATTGCGTCCTGCGTGCCTTTGTGGGACTGATATGTGCTAGCGCACCAGGTCCACATATGTGTGCCAGTGGAAATGGCTTCCCTGCAGCCATCTGGGTGGTGGGGCAGATGTGGTTCTCCCCTCCTGGTGAGCTGGCCCGGCTGTGGAGGACAAGAGGGAAAAGTCATCAGTCATGCATGCTCACACTTTCCCTGGGTATGTCTACACTACCCCCCTAGTTCGAACTAGGGGGGTAGTGTAGACATACCCTAAGAGTTCTTTGAAGGGGTTAACAAACATGCAGACAAGGGGGATCCAGTAGATATAGTATACTTAGATTTTCAGAAACAGTTCTAGGAACTAAAAGAATTAGTTGCATGAGTTTTGGTATGCTCCTCTTATTTTCTTAATTTCTGTTATGATTGCATGTGTGTTTTATTATTAAATGATCCACAGTTTTATTAAAATTCCTTGTTTCTGTACAAGCCACCTTACCGATCTTAAAATGTAATAATAATAATAATAATAATAATAATAATGAGAAACAGGGAGCTTCACACTTGTGTTTTCTGTTGGGACTGAATTAGCTGAATACATATTTTATTATACTTGTATGCTAATCAAGTTTTGGCATAAAAAGTGTTATACTAAAAGTTATACTATAAAACAAGGGTATGTCTACACTACCCCCCTAGTTCGAACTAGGGGGGTAGTGTAGACATACCCCCTGAGAGGGCATGTCCTCTTTCTCAGCAGGCAGTGCCTGTCCTCTAGGGGTCAGAGGATGCTCATGTGCATCTCAGTAAGGCATGATT